TTACTTTATATTTGAGGTGATAGAGTTAAAAGAGTATTCCACAATGTTTAGATTACCTTTTCCCATGCTGGATTCTGGATTTCGGATTCAAACCTGGAATACTCCATATTATCATATAACATGGTTAATAGCTTCCAGATCAGTAAAAGCAGAAGACCAATGAGGAAAATGGCACCGGAAATGCTGAGTCCTATCGTCACCGGATCTGGAGGGCCGGCAGGACACCCTTAAAGAAGAAATGTCCAACAATTAACAGGAATATTCAGGAGGATGAAACTCTGTCATGCAATTAACTTAGGGAATAACTATCTTCTAATTTGGTATTTGAGACCGTTAATACTGACGCATTAGCGGAGCCGGTAAAACGGATTTTTGCGAACATAAATCAGCATTAACGGTCTCAAATGTTGTTGTTTGTTGTTTACGTCTTATTTTGTTGAGTTTCGTTACATGAAATACGTCACAGGACATTGTGTTTTTGCGTCGCTCTATTATGACGTCACAATTAAAAGCTTTCCCTCTCATTAATGCTCGTTTTTTGCTTCAAACTTCAGTGCATTAGCCAATCAAAATGTGTTTTATAAAGCAACTGCATTAGAATGAAATATGACTGAAACTCTACTGCAATGTGACTGACAAAAACGATCTGGCGTTCAGTGACCCTTCAGAAGTGCCCCTTGCCATTCAGTTGACTGTATGGTGCAGATTCACCCTGAAGTTGCAACAACATAAAACAGTAAAGATACTGTAAACCAACTTTTGATTTATAATTTATTTTACCAGGGGTAAACTAGTTTGCAACGTTTAATTTTCGGGATCAGACCTTTTTGGATCTGTTGTTGATAGACACAGAGACTTTAAGGACCGATTTGTGGCGAGAAATATTCGCGATCATGAGGTTCTTACGAAATTTGGTTTGCAGTAATAAAGACTGACTATCATTCAAATCAACTTTTGAAATTCATAAATTTTAAATCCATCTGCAACAATCATTTTTCTGACTAAGGAATCACATTTCATAAGAACACAAAAAGAAGAATGGATTTTGCTAAAAATATTTGTGATGAAAAGAAATTAATATTGCCAAGAGATGATTTTCATGCACGAGTAAACATATAAAGTTTACAGTAATATCTACTTGATGTATGCTTTGAAACTGAACATTTCTATGTAAATATGACTTGTCGCATTTTCTCTACTCACGTTTTGTGTCTTTGACAACAACTTCCTGACCAGCTTCGCTATCATCTTTATATAAAAAAAAAAATAAAATATGACATTATTTTTGACAAAGAAGATATTGTACATGAATTTGAATAATAGTTGAATTATTATTTTAAAACAATAAACAAAAATGTAGTTTTGCTTAACTTACAGATACGTATAAAATTTTGTTCTTATGTTATGCAACGGTCTTAGTGACTTACAGACACTAAACTTTATGATGCAGCCCTCACTGTCATCTATGATGCACGATTTCATTGTTACACTGACATTGCCGCCTTCTTGGGCTAAAATTTATAATGAGTGAATGAATCAATAATTAAATATAACCTATAATACACATGTAGTTAAAAATGTGGAGAAAACAAGGTGTTTGTGAAAGACTATGCGACTGGCGGAAACAAAGTTCGAAAATACTATTTTTAGCTTAGAGGTCACAGTCAAGGTCACAAGGTCATTGACATTGGTGTCATTTAAAAGACCTTAATTAGTGGAGTATGTATAATGAATGTCAAGTCTCTGTCCATCATGGTTAAAAAGTTATGGTGAAGGTTAAAGCTGACAACAGACAGACAAACAAATAAACAGACAAACAGACAGGACAAAAAACAATATACACCCCGGATCTATCGATCCTGGCGCATAAAAATATTTTTTTTGATTTTTGATTGACTTCCAACTCTTTCACAAATTTTAAGGTTATCCTTAAATCTTAACAAAAGGAGTAATTTTTATGTACACTAATGAATAATATTAAAACTAAAATCAAGAAAATTCAGAGGAAAAATGTGCAAAAACAAACCGACACATCAGTTTTGTCAGTCCATGCTCAGTGTTGTAGGTAGAGTTTAACGATTGAACACACCTGAACGTTAACATTAACAACAACAGAGCTCGTGCCCTAATTTCAGGTTTAGAGGGTGTATTCAATTGGTTAAATTTGGTACACAGCATTGAACACAGGCTGACATTACTAGATAATGGTTTTGCTATGTACCTTTAAGGGATGGAGTTCATTGCTTTTAAATGTTATAAATTATAAATTAATTTTACATATTTTCTTCTTTTAATTTCCATCAACTGCGTGGGGCAGTGGTTAGAGCGTCTACTATAGTGTCGCAGTGTAAGGAGTTGATCAATACGTCGCGGGTTCGAATCCCACTGTGGAACATGGAGACCGGTCTTTCGGACGAGACCGTACTTACCGAGGTCCCGTGTCACAGTAGGTACTCGCACGAAAAATATCCTTCCCTGCTTAAAAACCTTGAGTGTCGAGGATAGGAAAATTTACAACTCTCCACCGGCAAGTGACAGCGTCTCCATATGAGTAAAAGTATCTCGAGAGGGAGGTTAAACAATGTACAATCAATCGAAATCTTTCAATAACACAGTCTGAAGAATACTCATCAAATCAAGTTTATTATATCTATATATAATAGCTTACATCAGCAGGATTCCACTCGAACCTCCATACATGTACTACTCTTGCCAATAATCACTGACACATGACCCACACTTAAAAACATTACTCTTGCACAGTTGCTTCCCTTATATAACATGAACACACTATACAGAGTCCCTGACTCACTTGCTGGTTCCAGTAGTGGAGCGGTCCTGACGTTATAACAGCGATTTCTACAGACAGTACTGTTATACTTCCCTTGATTAAAGGCCACACACTCGGCGCAGTCCTTATTGTTATTACAGATACCGGGACAACTCTGCAGCCAAAATAAAATATTACAAAATTGTACAGACTTTATATTTACCAAACAGAGACTAGATTGAAGAGTAAGTTTTTTTTAAAGGCAAATATAAGCGTCTCCTTATGAGTGAAAAAATTCTCGAGAGGGAAGTTATACAACAAGCAAACAAACAAACCGTGCAGCTGTTACAAAGCGTTCCTCTCCAGCCGGTATCGCAACGACAGCGTCCGCACTCACACACACCGTTACCGGAGCAAATCGTCTACAAACAACACAGATATACAGATTATTATTATTTCAAATGAAGAACTGACATAAAAGAGCTCAATTATAAAGCTACCTTTTAAATATATGATTTTTTTTTCTAAACAACTTATGGGAATTTTATATGTCATTAGGTTTAACATGTCAAACAGTTGCTGGTACTTTTTTTAACTATGGCAACTTCTTTTTTTTACACATCAAAAGTTTACAAAATATTTTCCAACCTTTGAAATGTTTTCCAGAGTTGTGTTGGAGAATATAAGTTTGGAAGCAGTACTAATTAATGGATAATATATTTCCTAATTTAGATCACAAAAAGCTTAAGAACCTTTGTTCTGCTTAAAGGTTTTTCAGGTTTATTCAGATGTGGCACTTTGATACAGTGACCCTTCTAGGGGTCCACCTATTCCCTAGATCTAACAGCTAGAAAAATCTGAATATAATATTTGTAATTGAAAAATTTATTAAAATCTTTTTGATTCAAATCAGCTAGAATAAAATTTTGTTTTATCCATCCCCATTTCTTTACACCTTTTTCAATTATTTTTCTGTGTTTTCAAAGATTAGTATCAATTTTTTCCTTGTTTCTGTTAAGAAGAAAAGCACCTAGGTCTGCTGGCTAACTTAACATTAGTTTCGACGTCATACAAAGATGGAATGATGTTTCACCTTGAGGTTCTGATTTTGTTTTAAAATCCCATTGGAGTTATTTGGTCAAACTTACTCCGTTGTTGTTTGTACAGGGGTCAGTAGAGTTCAAGCATTCACAGGCCTCTCCGGTATAATTGGCATTACAGACACACTGTCCGCAGTCACAGCGTCCACGTGATGAGCCTACAAATCAGATAAAGTATATTTGATACAAAAAACATGCATAATTTACGTATGCATGTTTTAAAATATGAGAGTTCAAAAACTTTTGATCTTCAATTTCTCATTTTGGATATCACCGTAATAAATCTATATATTTCCACCTTTTATTGGATATCTTTTAGAAAAATGACTGAAAAATAAACTAATTTCTAAGCTGTAGTTTTAAAAACATCCATAGGCCTGTATTGAGTTGTTATTTTCGTGAATACAATAAACCAACTATTAACTATCTACAGTAGTTATGATAACATTAACTCTCCAGATTAGATTTAGTCACAATTAACCAATTAACTATCCTTAGATTGTATATGTAAACGAAAGTGTTAAATGTTTGTGTTGTTAATAATAACTATTAATTCATCAGCATTATCTTTAATGTGAGACTAGATATTTCTCTTATCTTCTTATTTTATTTACCTACCCCCACAGAGAAGTTTGTTGTAGGTCCTACAATTCTCGTCATTACATTCACATTTGTCACCACTGTAGCCTTTGAAACATTCACACTTCCGACACGTGCAATTCCCCGCATTATTACAAATTCTAAACAAGATAAAGATATCATATCTTCAATTTGAAGATTGTAGAATCTGCACATAGAATGTACATTTATGTATTTTTACATGTATATAATAAACTGTGTCGTTATTAAGCTTATGCACTAAGAAAAATACAAAAAATGATTCCAAAAGATGCACATACTCGTACAGGCACAACTTTCTGTAGGCATTTAAAAGGTTAAAAACACAATTAAAGAAGACCCTGAAGAAGAATAGTGTGTCACGCTAATCAAACCACCTTCTCTACATAAAGTATTAATATTATTGTTATTAAGAAGAGTGTAAATGTTTTACATGTAAGCATTCAGATTCTTTTCTTGGATGAAAGTTTTTGCCCTCATTGAAACATGACTGATACCAAAACAGAACTTACCCATTATCGGTTCCACAGGCTTCTTCTACTGTCCCTCTATTATCACACTCACACCTGTCCCCAATCCAGCCAGGATTACATTTACAGATACCACACTCAAAAGTTCCATTGAAACTGCATTCAGCGCTATTTGGCTCCTACAGGTAAATCAAAAGAATCTCAAGAGAATCTCAAGTAATGAAACATTTAATTAACATGAAGAAAATCAATTTACGTATAAATCCTGCAAATCAACTTTATAGAATGCTTTCACAGAAATAAACTTGGACAGTTTGATAACTGAAAGATGACTAAATGTCTACTGAATGGTGACTTGATGACATTCCTCTGCAATTCAGTTCTTATCCAGACTTCTCAGAAACAATTCAATTGACTCAATGGTGTATGTTCATCCTATATTTTTATTAAGTTAAGTGTGAAGAGTGCATAATTATAATAACAGTGGTCGAAAAGATGGTCCAAGATTATGTGATTATGTCTTATTTCTAATTAAAATTATCAGATTTCGCAGACACAAGCAAAGGTATTGATTTAACAAACTATTCTACCACGATTATTGCAGACTTCAAAGAAATGCCGCTGACATTATTCTCCAATAAATCACGAATGTCATCAAAAAATTATCAGAACAGAAACACATATCAAACCTGTACAGTTGAAATAAATATTTGACTCTAAAATGAAATACTTGTTTAGACCACATCGATGTTTCGTCTTTTGCAGTCTGAACACTGTAAATTGCATCAAGTTGCTGATAAATGTCGGTTTTTATAGCCATGCGGGGCTATTCCACGGACCTCCCTGCACGTTTAAACACCAATAAAGCGGTTAAACAATAACATTATTTTGTTATTGTATATTCATTAAAATTAATCAATACATAAAACGTACAAATTTGAAATTTGAAAAGGCTATTTTAAATGCAAAGAAAGCTCAAATTGTCTGCATTCCATACACATGTAAGCTAACAAATTTTACCTCTGATGTTAAATGGAACAGCATAATCGAGACATGGTGACCTATTTCGTTTCTCTATAGAGGAAACGATCAGGCGTATTTTAGCGATCTTCATGATCTTTGTAGAATAGAAATAAAGTCCTTGTTGTCGTGAATGATGATAACCTCCCCCGTCTCGAAATGTTGTTTGAAAGATAAAGGCCTGGGCTAACGCCTCGGCTTTTATCTTTCAAACATTTCTCGACCTCGGTGGTTTTCCTGCAACATTCATGAAAACGCGGACTTTATTTCTTAAACAATATTAAAAAGTGAAAATACGAGAATCTACTGTTATACGAATTCATGGTATCATTTGAAATAAAGGACCACATTTTCACATATAGCTATATGAACAAATTTCATTTTAATGCATGCCGTTCAAACATTGCAAATACTTACAAGTAAGAGCGTAATTATATTATACATTTATTGCATGATAGTGAGGGAAATATGACATTCGCCCGAGGGGAATATGCTATTTCTTGACTAAATAAATCTTCATGTTTCCCGAACATCCATGCAATGAATTGTTTAATATTATACCGAAAAAAGCAAAAACTTTTATTACATAAACATAAACTTCGAATTCGTCACAGCTTTCAAATTCACTTTCATTTTTAACACAAAGTTACTGAAACACTTTTACACATCACTATCAGCCATTTTGTGACGTATACTATGCTATTGTGACGTCTACTACTTTTTTCAACGAACGATAACGATATTGCAGGAAAATGCACTAGGCATTCGAAGAGGTGGAGTATGATGAAAAGCATGCCGACAACCGTGAAATATGAAGTTCTTTTGGCCAGATCACGTGTTAATCTAAAACCAAACAGATAACGCGTTGTGTAGAACAATTATCATGAGATATGCTAATTTTTTTTAATAGTGAACTAGTGCTGAAGCCACTACAAACCAAAAAGTATTTGTTTATTTTGATGATGACGCAATGACTTAAGCTGTTTAATTTTCTGCATACGGAGTTTATATATCCAATTTGATTCGATACGCAAGAGCATGCTATACGTATGAACAATTTCGTAAACGAGGTAAATTATTGACAACAAGTTAATGAAACAGAATTATCACCAGTCTCGTTTAAAGTCATCATATTGCACGTTCTATGACCTTGTCAGCAAATGCAATTTATCATTGAGTCCATTGCTAATTGACGTTTTCTATACTTATTGTTAATCCATTTATTTTTAAATTGAATACAATTGTCGACGGATTCTTCCGTTATTTCCGTGGTACCTGGTCATACCGTTGCTGTTTTTGAGGTCTGTGTTTGCTCTCCTCCTATTTTGTATTGTTTTATGGATTTTTGATCTTGAATACTGTTCGTTTTCTCCATGTTTCTCTAAAAAACTTTTGAGCATGCATATTATAGTGAATAAAAAAACCCTAACAACCATATCTAAGCGAACGCCACCTACCGCTTCCGGTTCTAGCTGGCAGTCACAATCACACACGTGTTCTACGTCCACCTGAACACGCTCCTCGAGGCCCTCAGGGAAAATGGTGAAGGTCAGATTTCTATTCTCCGGGCAGGCGGTAAAATTGGATTGTATCACCGGAGTAAAATCAGCCTGAAAAAAAAGCAGGATTTATTTTTTCATTTCTACAAACTTTAAAAAAAAAAAGATAATATCTTTTAGTGAAAATGTTTTATAAAAAAATATTTAAAATTTAGAAAAAATTCTGATTTATGTTATCGGAAACAATTCAACTCTTAAGAAATGATAAGAGCAACTTCAAGAGAGATTTAAAATTAACATAAGATATGATAAGAGACTTTGATTAACTGTTACCTGTTTTCCTCACTACAGATTTAAATAAAAATACGATGTGGTCTTTTCACAGTTATACATTTTATTGTAACATTCTCACAAAAATGGATTTCAAGTTTATATATACATGTCTTATTTGATTTATATGCTTTATACATGTTATAACTGTTCATTGAATTAGATGTAAAACTATTTAAAAAATAAAGCACCCTGTGTGGTGCTGTAGGGCTTATTATTATGTATTGTTATAGAGGGAGCTTAGTCAGGGCCCCATCCCTGGCAGCTACCCTACATATAAGCTGTTTATTGCTATAAGTCTGGGAAATAAATGTTGAAAAAAAATTCATGTAAATTAGTTTTCAGAGAGAAAAATCCTCACCCATTTCTCAATTGTTAATTTGGAACATATATTGGTCCTGTCTGCTGATCGTCTGAAAAGGCATAAAAGCCTAATTACTTATCAGGGATTTGTTTAGACATGATCATGACAAAAAAAAATTAACAGTTATTAATAATAATTAATGCATTGATACATTTATCGATATACAACCTTGGTCTAAGGTGTTCTTTTTATTTGAACCCTTATATTTTGTAAAACAAAATCATTGATATCATCCTTTGATATAATATCTTTAAACGTAAACAATATTTCCTTCTTATAAATTGCTTATGGGAACTGAAATGAATAAATTTTAAACTCATAAAATATATATTTTGATTCACTATAGTAAAAACCTTAATTCACTCGGTGAGAACTTTCATTTTTTTATCAATTACAGTAAAATCTTTGTTAGCTCACTATATACAGTAACTTTTTTAAGGGGAAACTAGGGATTCAAGTAATTATAGCCTCACAACTATTTATTTTCGTAATGTATTACATACCCTCCTGTTCTACAGTTTGTATACATTTTAACATCCAGTTCCTCTATATCTTCATTAACTACCAACTTAACCGTCTCACGTAAACGCTGAAAGAAAGAGAACACAATATGCAATAAAATCTATCTAAGAGAGTATGGAACGCCAAATTAACATATCTTCAAACATTTGTACCTATCTTCAAATAATTGTACCTATCTTCAAATAATTGTACCTATCTTCAATTCATTTGAAGATAGGTACAATTTAATTAAAGATAAGTACAACTGAATTGAAGATAGGTGTAAATAAATAAACCTATCTCTAAATAATTATACGTAGGTACAAATGAATTTTACATATTTTTAATGGAATTACACCTATCTTCAATTCAATTAAAGAAAGGTTCAATTGAATTATACCTATCTCTAATTCATTTGAACATAGGTTTAATTGATTTAAAGATAGGTACAATTGATAGGTATCTTCAGATAATTGTACCTATCTTCAAATCAATTGTACCTATCTTTAAATCAATTGTACCTATCTTCAAATAAATAAAAGATAGGTATAATTCAATTGTACCTATCTCTAATTGATTTGAAGATAGATACAATTGATTTAAAGATAGATACAATTCATTTGAAGATAGGTACAATTCATTTGAAGATAGGTACAATTATTTGAAGATAGGTTCAATTCTTTGAATAGATGTTAATTTGGCGTTCCATAAGAGAGTGGCTTTGCTCTGATTTGTTTTCTTTTTTCATCTACAATTACAAAAATAAAGACAAATATTTGATTTTCCCCTGCAAGATAAAATAATTCTAATATTCTACTGAAATACCTTGAAAATAACCCCAACTCCCTTTTTTTGTGACTAATTCTTGTAAGACTTTTTTTAAAATTATGCTCAGTATCGAAGGATGTCATAAAGAATTATGAAAGATGCTTTGATATAAACTATATTTCATTTAACGCATTGTACGCACACGCATGTGCATTCACATACAAGAGGATCATGGCATATTGTCTAAACCATTAACATATCTTTATTTCGTGAGAATATAATAAAATTCATAAAAATATAAATGTTACCGTTTTTCAAATATTTTGGTCATTTTGCGTATTTCGCGCACGCACGTGCATCCATGTCCTTGAAATCAAATTTGAAAGTAGCATCATGTAGGAATCCATTGTACCTATTCATATTTTAAAATTTCATCCCGTTTTATTGAGAACCAAGAAAGTTATAGACATTTAAAGTTTCAGCCAATCAGATTGCAGCACACATACATGCGCATGCTTTCATTATAATTTTTATATACATACCATGCTGTAGATCTTCATAGTGTATGACTATGTTCAAAATTTCAAAGGATTTTGTGGAACAACCAGAAAGATATTGAGATTTTAGTTTCAGCCAATCAGAGCGAAGCGCACGATCATGCGCGTGAGATCTTGCTATTTTGACCGTGTCATCATGTCTTTACTACTAATATATCTTAACATTATGACTTTCAAAGTGGTTCATCAAATGATAGAAAAATTGCGGCTATATTTATTACATTGGTCATTTCACATGTTGCACCGGCGCGTTCTTGCAAGCACCTGCGCGCAAAATGACCTTGATTCCGCAAATCTACATACATGTAATATGTATACTAACCCTAAAAAGGTTTTACCTTCATCGATTGAACAGTTTACAAGATCACTCCCGGACAAAAAAGTACACAGGAAGAAGAAGAAGAAAAACCAGAAAGTCTGCTATTGCAAGCAATAGCGTATGTCGCCCCGAACTGGACAAGACTTTCATTTTTTGTATCACTAAAACAATACCCATTAGCTAAGCTTGTACAACCATCACTTCGTATCATTCTTTTCAGTACTTTGATTTAAAAATCAAAGTTAAAGAATTTTCACTTTCCCCTGGTTTCCATGGGAATAATCGATTATTTGAAAATTTTAAATGCGAATCGCACAACTACAATTACTTATCACTAAAATAAAAAAAGTTTCATAACGAATGCTCTAGGGACCAGAGAAAACAATCGCGGACAAAACCCGTCACTTTTTGCAGGTTTCCATGGCAACGGGAGCCATTTTGAAACTGAATGAGCACACAACACAACTACGATCAGTTTTTGTCCTTTGAGGAAATTTTCAGGAATATTGTCCCAGCAGTCTTCGAGAAACGGCCTGGATAACAATAACATTCGCACAATCGCAATATGTCGCCCGACTTCGGGGCGACATAATAACTAGATGAAATCTCGTTGCGAGCAACGAGTAGGTCTTCCGTTCGAATTCTGATAAGATCATAAAAAACTTTAAATGAAAAAATGTTCATATCAATTCTTTAAAATAGGCTAGAACACATTTAAGAGTGAAATCTATAAATTTTAAACTTCTGGTCTTTATATTCACTTCCAGTATGACCGGAAATACTTAAAATGACCTACATGTATAACTCCTCTATGAGTGTGAAAGAATCACCCTTGATAATTTCGGAGAAACATGCTCATTTTTGGACATATTCTGGTGAGGAAAAATGACTTCCGGTGGACATAATATTACTCGAGACACTTTATTTGCTTTCATAAGAAAAATTTTAAAAAGAAAAAAATGCATATTTTGAAACTACTTCCGGTGGACACTACAAAAACAGAAAATCGGGAGTATCTTGGGACCGGAAGTGATGACGGAAAAATACAAAAAAAAAGCGCATAAAGTTCAGATAAATTTCCCATCATTGCTGAAATTTTCATGAAAATCTGTCGAGGCGTTCTCGAGAAGTAGACTGCACAAAATCGGTAAAAAAAACATAACTAGAAAGTCTGCTATTGCAAGCAATAGCGTATGTCGCCCTGAACTGGACAAGACTTTCATTTTTTCATCACTAAAACAATACCCATCAACTAAGCTTGGACAACCATCACTTCGTATCAGTTCTTTCGGTACTTTGATTTAAAAATCAAAGTTAAAGAATTTTCACGTTTCCCCTGTTTCCATGGCAACTATTGACAATTTGCAAGTTTAAATGCAACACGCACAATTACAGATACTAATCATCAAATCAATAAAGTTTCTTGACAAATGTCCAAGGGACCAGAGAGAGCACTCTCGGAGAAAATTCGTCGCTTTTTGCAGGTTTCCATAGCAACGGTAGCATTTTTAAACTGACTGACCTCACAACAAATAGTGATCATCCTTTGAGGAAAGTTTCAGGAAGATTGTCAGATCCATCTCTGAGAAACAACCCGTAGAACAGAAACATGCGTATGATCGCAATATGTCGCCCCCGACTTCGTTCGGAGCGACATAAAATTCAAAAATTAAAATTGGTTAAGAGAAAAAGTACTATCTTTCAAGTATATTTTTCAAAAAACGTACAAATAGTTCCTAAATAAAGGAAGGAATTGATAATTGCAGACACTCCCGATGTCAAGAGGGTAGGACAGATTTTTACAATTATGGACATATACATGTTTATTCTTATTATTGATTCTACTTAATCGAAAGGAAAACGTAAAAAAAAAATCATTAACTGATACTTTACGAGTTGGAACGTGTTTCTTTCTTTTTTTTTTTTTTGCACCGGAGTCTGAATGACTCTATTTTCTATTATTTACATCATGAACTTGATCAATATTCTGAGCCAAAAATACAGAGAAATTCAATCTTTCTTTCAAATATTGCGACAAAATTAAGAATTTTCTGTAAATTATAACTTTTTGATTGATTACATCAATGAAGGATTTGGAGATAACGAACAGTATTCAATATCAAAGTCCATAAAACAATACAAATTAGGAGCAGAGCACACATGGACCTCCAAAACATCAGAAGTGGGATCAGGTGCCAAGGAGGAGTGAGCATCCCCTGCTGACCGGTCACACCCGCCGTGTGCTCCTTGTCATGATCGGGAAATAACGGGAAAATCCGTCGTCAATTCAGTGTATAAATAATGGACTACCGATTAGTATGAAAAACGTCAGTCAGCATTTGACTCAATGATAAATTGTATATTTCCTGACAAGGTCATTGTATGGACCATAGCACTTATAAAATGATGACTTTAAACGAGACTTCTGAAATTTTTGTTTCATCAACTTGTTTGTGAATAATTTACCTCGTTTTAGAAATTGTTCATACGTAGAACATGCTCTTGCGTATTGAATCAATAGAGATATATACACTCTGTATGCAGATGATGAAGCATATTGATGCATAAGTAAGGGAAGTTGACGACAGAAAAGTTAAAGTCATCACATTTATCAAAGCGCTTTGTTGTTAGATTAACATAAATGTCATTTTCAAGTAAAATATCAAAGTATGAAACAGATGTGTCAGACTCTGTGGTATCTTTAACTCAAGCTCACCAGAATATATAAACCGTATCGACGTAGTGATTGTTAATTGACAATACGTCGTTGATTAATCTAAATGTCGAGTTGAAGGCCATATCAGGTGTTTTCTTCATTTCACGCACAAGATGTTTTGCACAAAGTCTGCTTCATATCAATACAAAAACAACCTCTGCTCATAACGGAGCCCAAATGGTACCCATGGGACTTCAAATAGATTGTTGGAAGACGTCTCCAAAAACCACATAGATATTGTCAATCAGAAACTGAATCATCATTTTGATGTCAACTTCAGAGTGCTTGTTTGTACTTATGTATTTGTTGATAACTGAGGGCATCTTAATGTTCTCCGTATTTACCTTGTAATTTCCACTGACGATGTTCAGGATATTCCTTGCGTCTGTAGAGAGTTGTGAAGCACCTGGTGTACCCCCTGGTAACAGTTGAGCTAGTTTGTCATAGTAAAGATTCCGAACTTGCTGATTGGTCAGTTGAGACGAGTTTCCTCCAATCACAAAGATTATATTTATATTGTTTTCTTTGGCTTTCTGAATAATATGTCCGACTGAAGGATAGTCCTAAAATTTAACATACATTAAAACATTATAATTGGGATGGGAGGGGGATCAGGGAAAACACTAAAAATTTCTGAAAAATCGTGAACAATTCAAAAATACTAGTATAAAGTTGATTACTGGTAGAAAGAGGGTACAAAATGTACCTGTATTTCAGCCTTTGTATAATATCCTTTGGCACTCAGATGACATTCTCCATCATTTGGCTCAAGGATTCCAGCTAACTGTTAAAACAGATGAGAAACAAGAGGGATCATTCGACTGCACACTTTTAAGTTCAATTGCATGCTCTGTTTATTGCTATTTACTTTAATTTCTATAAAATGCAACTCACCCGTCCATCCCCAGCTTGATGAAAGTTGATATCTGTAGCGTATAACAACATTCTTCTGGCTTTGTTTCTCCAACCAATTTTCCTCTAGGGCAAAAAAAATGGGGGTTTTTTTTTGGGGGGGGGGATTCTTTTTAAACTATTATATGTTTATAAGATCACAAGGATACAAATATTTTATTTTTTTTTTTTAAGATTATCTTTTTTCACATTTTTCTGTGAACGATCATATATTCATTAATTCGGTAAAAAAGGAGATTTCCCAAACATTTACATAAACAAAGTTATCTCACAGAAGAATCCGTGGATCAAAACGTTTAAATAAAAACCTTACCCCACACACCATAGCTTGCATTAAACCATCAAACAGACCTTCTGGTTTGTCTAAGTTCGCCGTGGTTCTGATGTCATCTAATGCATTCTAAAAATAAATAAGATTCTGATTGGATTTTTAAAAAGTGTCTACTGCTTTCTAAAAATAGATAAGATTCTGATTGGATTTTTAAAAAGTGTCTACTGCACATAGAGGCTACATTTTTTCAGAAAAAGAATCAGATCAAAGGAACATAAAAATATCAGTTGTATGGACTTTTCCGATTAAATTTTATTAATACTCTGAAAAGGTCAGTTTAGTTCTAGATTCTTACTCTAATATGAAAAATTCTGAGTATGTTTAAAGAGTTTATTTTCTCTCTACAAATGACTAAAGGGAAAAATTACATGTAGCTTGTCTAATCTTGCTATTCCAAGTCTTTTTGTAGATAAAACATATTAGGAATAACATGGAAATAAACACAGCATTAAAAACACCACTACATGTATATACATACATTAGCAGAAAAAGACAAAAAGACAGTTTGGCGCCCTTTCGGTCCCAGAATGCAATACCTCGAAGGCCGTAATATTCGGTGTGAGTGTCTGGCGATGTCTGAAGGAGTAAGCAGGTTCACAAGTGTCGTTAGTACCTAGGCCTGCTCCTGAACACGGGTCATCAAGACTGTAAATTAAAAAAAATTAATAAAAAATAGTCTCTGGAATCTGCTTCAGATCAAAATTTGTAATCACAGGATAAAACTCTGTAATTCGGTTAACTAAAAGGTGACTGAAAATCAACTGAAAGGTGACTAAATGGTAGAACTCTGTCATTCGGCTTCATTTACAGACTTTTCAGTGACCATTTGGTCGAGTGAATGGTGCAGGTTTTTCCCTTGAGTGTTAAAACATCATTAAGTATAATTAACTGTATTTCATTCATGGTTTACTTACTAACGTGGGGATGTCCGTGTAAATGGTAATATAACCTTATCCATAGCTGTCCCTAATCCAAACTGAAAATCTGTTGTCAAGTTTTCTATTTCTTTTGCTAAAATGTAAGATATCATAAGATATCATCAGGAGTGGAAATCATTAGTTCATATATCTGACAGTATATGAAAATCTTTTTTCATTGATGTTTAGATATGTTGAAATTATTGTTTTGTTTATCAAATCTTCAAATAGAAGAAATACGTATATATTTAATGAATGAGTATGAATGAATGAATGAAGAGCACACCTGCTCAAAAGTATTGACTGACTTTTTTTCATTTGTAATTTTAAATGTACGTATAAAAATGAAGAGAATTTTACAGAGTTTCATATTTTACTGTATACAATTTTACTAGTCTATTTATGCAAACTGGTTGCTCAATCCACATGAATTTCAGAGAATCAGTTTAGATATGTTGAAATTATTGTTTTGTTTATCAAATCTTCAAATAGAAGAAATACGTATATATTTAATGAATGAGTATGAATGAATTAATGAATGAATGAAGAGAACACCTGCTTAAAAGTATTCACTGACTTTTTTTCATTTGTAATTTTAAATGTACGCATAAAAATGAAGAGAATTTTACAGACTTTCATATTTTACTTTATACAATTTTACTAGTCTATTTATGCAAACTGGTTGCTCAATCCACATGAATTTCAGAGAATCAGTGTTGCTTAAAACAGATTTCGGTATTTAAGGAGTGAATTTAATAGCTCCCTTTTTTATACGTTATAAACTGGGTTGGAGCAATTTACGCTTTGTAAACTGCGAAGCTATTAAATTCATTCCTTATCATTTAATTTTCAATCATATTCATAATAAAAAAAAGATACCGGTAATTGTTCTATAAAAATTGACTTCATTTTGTACAAAATTTGACGATAACGTCAGGCGGATTGAGGCAATGTTTTTGAGGCAAGTCTTTGTGACGTAGGCAGCACATTTTATACGATTTAAAGTTTTTTATCCAATCAAATACAACGTTAAAACCAGAAATAAATTATATATTCTAGTATTTATAAACAAAAGGTAAAGAAACGCTTTGCTAAACTTGTTAAGTTAGACACAATACTCTGTTACCCTTTAAGTGAATATTGTTAGAAAATTGTTTTTAATATAATAACTACGAATACATGTATATATTTTTGTAATTATATAAATATGCTAGTAGAATAAGTGTTAATGCACACACTCAAAGAAAAAATAGACTTTAATCCCCTTTTTAATCTAAGATTTTCTTCTTCTATTTTCTAGACATACATGTACGTACATATTTTTTTATTCAACAAAAGTTTTGCACAATCAATATCTTCTTTTTTTTTCAATAAGACATCATGTGAGAATATTTAAATGTACATGTATGAAATCATACACAGAACAGATTAGGGTTTATCTCTATAATATTGTCTTGATATTGTTTCAAACAAACGCAATTTAAACCAAATGTAATCTTTTATTCAAATATGTGCCAAACATATCTTACCGATATCGATATACATGGTTGTGTTGAAATACGTACCGATTGATTTGGATAAATTTTTTAAGGAGCTTTGTAGTTCTCGCATTGTAAAAGAAGGATCAATCAAGAAGTAAACATCTAGTGGAAAGTTTCTTGCAATTTTATAGTGCACCTTAAAGACACTCAGCAGCTTGTCTGAAAAAAAGATTAAAAAAAAAAAAAAACTTCTCCTGGTGTTGATATTAAATTTTGATTTGAAATTTGGAGTACACTAATTTTTCAACAGGTACTTTTGACAATGAAATAATCAATGCATTAAGTTCTGGATTGCTATCAAAGTAATTCAATAAGGCACATCTTAACACAAACACTTCAACATAAAAATGATACAATGAAACCTATCTTATCCAACATGCACTAGGATACAAATTTTGTGTCGGAATAGACAGGGTGTCGGATTGCACAGTATTAAAAATATGTGTAATAGTAAAATTTGAAAGAAATTTAACGTCGGAATTGACAGTGTGTCGGATTATTCAGGTGTTGAATTTGACAGTTTTCACTGTATTAAAATAAAATACAAAAGAACCGTTTCAATAGACGCTTGTCAAGAAAAAAGTTGACTAGACTATGCTTCTCGACGGATTTTTTCCGTTATTTTCTGATCATAACAAGGAGCACAAGGCGGGCGTGACCGGTCGGCAGGGGATGCTCACTCCTCCATGGCACCTGATCCCACCTCTGATGTTTCGGAGGTCCGTGGTTGCTCTGCTCCTATTTTGTATCGTTTAATGGACTTTGAAATTGAATACTGTTCGTTATCTCCTTATCCTTATTCATGGACAGGGGAACCGGGGGCTTTGTGAGAAGTATGGCACCCCTTTATTTTGCTGTTTAGAATCATAAAACTTCTGCTCACTCATATAAAATGTTGCTTGAACCTTAATGATTTTCCAAAAGAAATGTATTTTAAAAATTAAATACAAACAATTATAGCATAGCTTGCGGAGCAATTCGGAAAAAAGACAGTTCAACTTGGCAATTTTATAAAGGAATAATATACATTTATGTCATTAAGAGTTATTTCTCTTATCAGAGCATAAATGACCCTTAAATAGTATACCACAGAGAATAAATGAAATGTATACATGTTCTGGTTGGTAGCACGTGCTGCCGCCTCCTTAAAAGGAAAATTGTAGATATGTCCGCAATCTGAAATTGCTTTTTTCGGGCTTGAGTGATTGAATTAAGATAAATAAGAAGCTAATTTAAAAAAATTGCATTCAATGTAAAATGACATTTCTTTCTTTACTAATAAACATTTAAGCAATATAATGTCATTATGTCAATAACACTATATTCTTAGTCAATATCAAGTCTAGAGATTTTCAATGTATTCGGAAATGCATTGTAACAAAACATTCATTACAAAAGTTATTGGGATAAAACAAATTGATTCTGAATGAGAAAAATGACACATTGAAAGATACACAGTCAAACGGTTATAAAAAATAAACATCTGCAATTCCTGTGGAACCCTATGACAAAAGTTTTCAGTTTAAATTTTACAGTTACAGTAGATTTTGAGCGAAATCAGTCATTAAACTTACTGGGAACCAGTTTAATTTTGACATGTTTTGGTTTGATCTTAGGGTAGATAAGCCATTAAACTTATTGAAAACCAGTTTAATTTTGACATGTTGTGGTTTGATTTCAGTCTAAATCAGCCATTAAACTTACTGGAAACCAGTTTAATTTTGACATGTTGTGGTTTGATTTTAGTCTAAATCAGCCATTAGACTTACTGGGAACCAGTTTAATTTTGACATGTCTTGGTTTGATTTCAGTCTAAACCAGCCATTAGACTTACTGGGAATCAGTTTAATTTTGACATGTTGTGGTTTGATTTCAGTCTAAATCAGCCATTAAAATTACTTGGAACCAGTTTAATTTTGACATGTTGTGGTTTGATTTTAGTCTAAATCAGCCATTTAACTTACTGGGAACCAGTTTAATTTTGACATGTTATGGTTTGATTTCAGTCTAAATCAGCCATTAAACTTACTTGGAACCAGTTTAATTTTGACATGTTGTGGTTTGATCTGAATAGAATCCTGACCAGGCCCTCCATCAGAAAAATCTTTGTCCTACAAAGGAAAAAATAGAAAAAACATTGGTAGATCAGAAACTTAACAGCTGGCAATAATATATTCTAACTATTTACCTTCATTGCACGTACTAATCCCAAGAAAGAAAAAAAATATTTTTTTTTATAATTCTTTAGAATTGGTCTTATGAAATACATCATATGTTTATATAAGGGAACTTGCATGTTCTGTACAAATAAAGTTTACTTTTTGTAAAATTAAGTATATCTATCCTTTTTACCTCCAAATGTGGATAACCTTTTTGCTTTTCACCAATGCTGAAATCTGAATCTTATTATCAGCAGTTTAAACAAGGTTCCTTCTATACTTTCTCCTACAGCGATATCTTTAATAAATTTATACTATTACTAAATACTACCATTGGACAATATAAACGGTCAACCTTATATTCGTGAAAGGTTAAAATGTAAAAATTGCTAGCATTCCACTTGTTATCCTGTATGCGAATTTCATACTTGCCTAATTGGAACTAATATATCTTTAACATGCTATCTTATCCAAAATACCTGGATGTAAATAATTTCATGTTCCTTCCTATGAACAATGCTAAGACAACCACTTGAATTCATGCGAGCTGCATTGTCACATCGTGTTCCTGTGAAATTCTTTGTAATGAAAAAAAAAACCAATAGAAGAACAGTAATTCACAATCTCCTTCCATATAACTTTAAGAGCATTACTAATTATCAAATATTTGTTAAATAAAAATATCACTTAGAATATAAACAATCTCTCTCTCTTTCTCTCTCTCTTTCTCTCTCTCGCTCTCTCTTATATTACCCTGTCTTTACACCAGGCACATCCCTCTGTTATGAGACATTCCCCGCATCGAGATCCGGAGCACTGGCTAGCACTGGCTGTTAGGTCAACTGTAGGATTCAGGCCGCAACAGAAACCTGGAACGTCATATTATTTCACAATTCTAGTATGGTTATTTGTTTGTCCAATTCATGGAAACAATGTCCAAAATAGAGAATAAGATTTTCGAAAAAGTGTAGTATTTTCAATGTATGACAAACTAACCCCTCCCTAGGACCGAAATCATGGACCTATTAACACTGATTTAAACTTGTATCATGTACGGAGGTACAGAATTGATAATACATAAGAAAACCTTTCTAGTGGTCATAAGTATGGTATTAGGGGCACTTGCATGTGAAGACCGGGAGTTGAGGGTAAGTTGGATGTCGGGTTTTTTTCAAGGACAACTATTATGTACATTGAAATTACTCGTTATTTTCGTTTAATTAAATGTTGAGCTAAATATTTATATCGTAAAAGAGCTTCCGTATATTTTCCTAAAGGTAAGCCGTCATCTACAAAAGTCAGTGCTTCTCGTAAAGGACTTTTGCGAAAACACTGACTTTTACAATCGACGGTTTACACATGTACTTTTACACCAGGAAAATATATGAGAACTCTTTTGTGAAAAAAAAATTGGTCTTAACATTTAACAAAACGATAAAAACGGGCTGTTTCAAAGATCATATTACGTTGTCTAGAACGGAAACGGCAACATATCCGCCTCAAAACCCTCCATTGCAGCCTTGACTAGCTGCTGCCGAGTGTGGTAGAACAAAATTAATTTAAATACCTTATTCACGAGAATTAGTATATCCTTTTATTTACAATTACTTCAAAAAATAAATAAAGAAGAAAACACATTTCGGAAGGAACACCAATGATAATTTTTGTTTGGTAAATAATTTCAAAGTCCCAAATACCATAACTTGCAACTCCTTGCTTGTTTTTTTTTTATCTTTTATCAATTCCGAACCTTCGTACGTGACGCAGGTTTAAATGTCTAAGTAAGCCATCAACTGTCAAAGCCGTTGTCTTCGCAAAAGTCCAAAAGTCGATAATATAATTGCACAATTAGTTGACAAAAATATTGTCCTTGAAACAGAAGATTTTATAGGTTGTTCGGCATTTTCAATGTATAAAAACTTTCATGAAGCTTGATACTTTATCTCACTGAATTTAACAATGTGTTCACTGCCAACCTAGCTGTTTAATGGATATACGATTTTTGAAAAAAATTGATTAATTTTTTAAGTTTTGTGATTCTTTTTAAGTTTGTTTGAAGTTAGCATAAGAAGTAAGCCTATCAGTAGGATCATAAGTCAGTCTACTTGGTTTGATTTAGTTATTTCTAAATGTGTATGATATAAATCAAAAGTACACTAAACTACAAGGGCTCTGCTTTTCACCAAAGATACACAATAAATAAACATATATTTGCCAACTGATTTTATTTTTTATATCTGAGGTAGAAAAACGCTTTCTTTGGCCATCAACTCTGCATTCAGATGTACCAACGACGTTTTGTTAATGATAATTAGTCCCATTCAAAAGTCACCTCAATACCGGTATATCTCACTGACAGACATGGGACGAATTAAATTGTAAAGGAATGCACAACATTACCATTACTCCAAAAACTTGGGCATTAACATTACACTAATTTCTTAAAGTAATGCAACTGTAGCAAAGTAGTGCATTACTATTACCATTAGCATGTTTTCAACAACAAAAACAATGAAAGTACTCAGAAGTACAGAGAGCCGGGCTCATTTACAGAGCAGAATGAATTTCTTAAATGAATCACGTTTTTATTCTGATGAAAAAATTATTCTAAATCTATCAGTATAAATGATAAGACACTGACAGAGAGTTTTTCAATCCTAATACCACGGTCCGATTTGTCAGAATCAAAATTAATCTGGTACAACAGCTAAATGTTAACAAACAGGCCAGTCTGGTTTTCCTCTCCTGCTTTACCTCGTATGTGTAGAGAACTACGATAACACTGATTATCAAAAATCCTTACGCTAATGAACTATGTTCTTTGACTTAGGACTGAAGTTTTCAAAGTCATTACTACTAATGTTTATTTATAGATAAAAGTTCGATTTGTTTTATTTTTGTTGCTTCATTTAGCGGTTGTATTATCTCAAAAGCAGTTGAGAGTAAGAACTATATTTTTGCAGGTAACATTAAAATGGCGACTATGGGGTTGACTTCCTGCCTTGAACAGGATGACATAAGCCGGCAATTGCTCTTTGAGCAATAAGCCCGGCTAAAAATTGCAACTATTTTCATAAAAATCTATCCAACCGCTTCAAAACTAAACAAGATGAACGATTATTCAAATTTGCTTTTTAGTATACTTGTATTTATTACTCTGTAAATAATTTACATATTTTTTTTTGTAATTTAAAGGATATAACTTATCGATTGCAAATAAGATAAAAAAGTATGATTCGTTCATTATCTTCACCTTTTTCATACATGTACCAGGGTTAAAACTCTATTTTTCGGCAGTTCATGGTTTTTGTGATCGGGTTTCGGTTCCGGTGCTAGGGTGGCACTAAATTGATGAAATGCTAGTATGGATAAATAAACAGGTATTTTGTAAATTAGTTTTAATATCTTCAGAAATATTTTGGGTGAACAGCTAGAGTAAGGACTCAACAGAAATCTCGTTTTTATCAAAAGTTACCATGGACCCCCCTTGGAAAACGCAGACCCCCCCCCCCCCTGGTAAACGCGAATATGTGTGAAATGGGTATGAAAAGTGAAAGATTTGAGGCAATAGAAGTCACCACTGAAAGATTTGAGGCAATAGAAGTCACCACTACCCCCCCCCACCCCCCACAAAATAGGTTTTTGACGTTTGGTCGAGTTTGGGGGGGGGGGGGGGGGTTTGAAAGAAATTTCTGGGATTGGATTTTTTTTGACTGGGGTGGACCCCCCCCCCCTGGAAAAAATTTCTGGATCCGCGCCTGCAAGTATTTATGCTGTGTATTGTTTATTTTTGATATTGATTTATTAATTACGTCTTTTGCGTCCTGCTTCCCATGTAACACATTCTTATTCAGTTGTACTGAATTAAAAGGATCTTATCCGCAATACACATTAAAAAATCAGAAAACAGTTATTATCATTCAAAAGTACAATTGCACTTACAATTCAATGTTCTTTTTAGCGAATCCAGGACAGAAAATACGGATTTGTATGACTATAATATCAGTTATAAGAGTTTTCAATACATCTTCGACCTTTTTTCGGACATTCGTTCAAAAAAGGTTCATTTCCTTGAGTAAAACACTGTGCTCTGGTAATGGTTGGAAGAGTCATACCAGCATTTCTTATACATTGCATATGATGAGTGAAATCGACTTAGAGTGGTGTAGATTCCAAATAATCAAAAAGGCTGTAGTCTTCACATTATTTCTCAGAAATAAAAATTTGGTTGAATAAAGGGGGAAATTACTGTGAAATCCTTAATTTTCGTGGGGTTTATTTTTTGTTGTTTTCGCGGTATTGGGAAACCCACGTATTTATGACCACCACGAAATGTAAAATTTCATATGCATTAAAGCATTCCCAAACCACGAAATCAAATACCCACAAACCAATATTTTTCCTCAAACCTTGAAAATTTTACCCCACCAAAATATTTGATTTTACAGTAATATAAATCGTTAATTTTTAATTTATTTTGTTGCAAATGCCAAAAAAGCATTCTTAGCAATCCGCACTTTTATACCTATCCGATTATATTTATAGTTTTGATTTATATTTAAGGACAAAATTATAACCATAGATGGAAATTTTTAAAGCTAAAGTTAAAGTGTTATTATTATGTCGTCTGCATCAGAAAATTTCATCGAAAGCAACAAGAGTCCATAATAAGTGCAGGAAACGAAATTGATAACTTGAGTTATATATATTTATTTAGAAAAGAAGGAAATTCAACGCTTTGATCAAATTTTGATAACTCATTAAGGAAGCTTCCATATTTTCTAAGCAGAGTAACGGGTAATGAGTTGAGAGTTCTCAGTTTTGTTAAAAGGTCTTCACATCACGATATAAACTGTACATAAGTCTACAATATTATTTTCAAGAATTGTCCCCCTTAATACAATTAATGCAATAATTAATGGAATTTTGTAAAAATATCACATAAAACTCTGTGAGATATATAAATGTATACAATCTTATATTCATTACTGCGTGTTTTGAAATTTGTTATGCAATGCTTAATATAATTGTATCTCATGTATAAATGAAATATGAAGAACAGTATTCAGGCTCAAAATCCCAGTATTAGATAAATCTTAATTAGTAAATTGGCAAACTAATAAGATAAAGTATGTTTTAAAATCATTTACCCTACATTTAACACAAACACCATATTTCTTCTAGTTTCTGGGTTAATAAAATACTACCTATTTTTATAAAGGAGAATTCAAACAAGTACTTAATTATACTTACATAATACAAAGAGGAATATCCCCACCTTAAGCACTTCTGTATACATCTTGTCTTAAGTGTTACCCATGTACTAGAATATACTGAAAGGATCACTTCATCATAAATAGGGATCTGACCTATAGGACCGAGCTTGGTTTTTTTCTCTACAAAAAGCTTATCGATTTCCGTTCCGATTAATGACATTAGGCTGCAGAAAGCATTTAACAATTTGTTTTTCCCTAAATCTTTATTTCAGTGAGTAGAGGTTGATCTTTTTTTAAGAAACCCTTTCATTGATTTTCTGAGTTTGTTATCTCCAAATGTATAATTGATATTTGTCTTTATTTCTCATTGTGCATAATGGTAATGTCTACTGTCTCTGAAATTCTTTTTTTTTTTTTTAGGCTATTTATCCGTGGATATAATAAAACATGTCATTAATGTGTGCAAATTATATAGGCCTAAATGAAATCCAAGGGAGTACAGTTACTAATATATATGTAGCCAAAATCAATGTGATTAAATTCTAAGGAATATATGCAATTGAAATTCGTCGCAGCTCAATGCTGCCAAGAATACCTGTATCAAATAACACAAAGCGAATTATTCTTGTCCTCGGAGAAAGTATGCTTATACTGAGGTTTGTTCCGCCTGACTGACAAATGTACATTTGATTGTTACGATTCGACATCTCTTTAGTTTTTCTTGTTTCAAGAATGGACATACGTAAGGGATAGGTAATTGAAGGAAAATACACAAGTCTATTAAAAAAAATTAAAATAGTCTTTGAAAAGGCGAAAATCAAAACTTTGAAAGTGTGGTGCCAGGTGAATTCGAACCCGCGACTTTAAAAAGAAGCATTTCACGGTGTAAAACCAACTAATATATCAATTGAGCTAGTCCGTCTATAAGCATTCATTTGTCATCCATTATTGGGCACCTGAACAAACTATCACTGGGGATGGTTTAAGGGTCTTAGAGGGCGTATCTTGTCAAAGTTTCAAAGGGTCCAAGGGGATAGTTTGTTCAAGAGGCCGACAAAGAATAAAATATGAATGCTTGAAATATGCCCCACGCACTTGGCACCACTTGGTGGTACCACTACATCCCCATTTTTAAAGTGGGAAATGATAGCCCTAGGGCCCCTCTACCTTACCTCAATAATCATTTGGTGAACACTTGAAAGATAAGGCCTAATAGCTGACCTTTTCCCGAAATATTTTCTAAGGTATATTTAATAAAAGTTAAATGCTTTAGCACTTCATTAAAATATGCCCTATAAGGATGTGTCAAATCTTTCATAAACCCTTTTAATGTAAAAAAAAAAAAAAAAAAACAAGATGTGTTTGTGAAACACTGATGCCCCCGTATGGCAACAAATTGGGGAAGACTAAACTTTTCTGAAATGCAAAAATCACTCGAAATACAGCTCTGAAATACGAAATCAGGCCAGGGTAAAAAAATTTCATCAGTTTGGAAATCTTGGTATCCAATGAAGGCTCTTTTCACAAGGATTACATATGCATAGTATTAAGTCACTAGCCCTTACCGTTCAAAAGTTATGGCAAAGGTTAAAGTTTTTCATAAGAACGAAAATCTCCAAGATCAAAAATCAAGATAATTAGTTTCCAATGAAAAGTCTTGCTACAAGGAATACGCATGTAAAGTATGGAAGTCCAAGTCCTAAACATTCAGAAGTCGTGGCCAAGGTTAAAAAAATTGATAAGTAGGTCAAACTCCAAGGTCAAGGTCTTAGGGTCAAAGGTCTTGCTATCAAATGAAAGGTCTTGTCACAAGCATTAAATATGTAAAGTATGAAAGCACTAGCCCTAACCCTTTAAAAGTTCTAGTGAAGGTTTGCTTTTTTAAAGTAGGTCAAACTCCAAGGTCAAAGGGTCAAACTTCCGGGTACCCAATGAAAGGGTCTTCTTACAAGGATTACATATGTGAAGAATGAAAGCCCTATCCCTTACCGTTCAAAAGTTAAAGTTTTTTCATAAGTATGGATAACATAAGGGGCACTACCTATGACCACTAGAAAGGTGTTCTTTTCTATTATCAATTGCGTACCTCTATACATGATGCAGGTTTAAATGTCAAGAAAAACGTCAACTGTGAAAGTCAGTGCTTCTCGTAAAAGTCCAATAGTAGGATTACCACTTGTAGAATTAAATCCAAGTTCTTCTAGAATACAATTTATATAATGAGCCTTACAAACAAAGACAATGTTGTTACCTGCTTTGTGGGCAGGGACCAGTACGTACTGATCATGTAATCTATCTAATTCCTTTTTCACTTCTGGTTTATTGAACACAGAAGGATAGATGGTTAGATGGCCCCTCAGTATTTTAATACGTGACTTTAACATGGATCTGATACATTTAATCCATTCTGACAAGGTGTCGTCTTCTTTTTTTAACAAATCATAACAATAATTAAGACTTCGGACCAGCTCAGTCAGGGGTGTGTCAATATGTCATGTCATAAGACGGTTGTGTCCCTTTGAAAGGACATGGATGCAGCCAGGTAGTAGATTAGATATCAATACAAATAAACCGCTTGTATAAATAGTTAAACGCCACTGTATACGGAGCTGGTAAAACGATACAACACTGGGCAACTGTATTTAAGGAATAGCTGTCTAATTTTTTTTGGCTACATGATGTGATCAATCGATTGGCTTGCGTGATTATTTGCATAAACGCCGAAGGGGTTTTATGTTCAAAATTATCACTCAAGCCAATCGATTGATCATCTTCATGAAATCGAAAAAATCTTTAAATTATTCCTTATATTTACAAAATCACGTGCTACAGGCTCCGCTTCTGTCTCTAGCCTCCACGTGATTTTTTAATCACGCCTATCGATGATTGATTGATTTATATTGCTTAACGCCGAGTCGGCAATATTTCAGCCATATTTCGGCGGAGACGGCTATAGATGAGCCAATACATATAAATTTTTAATGTGGATATAAAGTATTTTTGCTATTGGTAACTTTATCTCGGACAAAAGACATTGGAAAGGTAAATATATACAATAAAATCCTTTTTAGCTCACCTGAGCCGAAGGCTCAAGTGAGCTTTTCTGATCAAAATTTGTCCGTTGTCTATCGTCGTCGTCGTTGTTGTCGTTGTCGTTGTACTCGTCGTCGTTGTTGTCGTTAACTTTTCACATTTTTGACTTCTTCTTAAGAACCACTGGGCTAATTTCAACCAAACTTGGCACAAAGTATCTTTAGGTAAAGGGGATTCAAGTTATTCAAATGAAGAGCATCCTCAGGTAGTGTAGATTCAGGTTGTTCAAATCATGACCCCTGGGGGTAGGGTGGGGCCACAATAGCCTATCAAAGTTTCACTTAGAAATATAAAGGAAAATTCTTTTTTAAAAAATCCTCTTCTCTGGAATAGCAAAGGCTTGAATAATCATATTTTTATGGAAGCATCTTCAGGTAGTGGAGATTCAATTTTGTTCAAAGCATGACCCCCGGAGGTAGGGCGAGGCCAAAATGGTCTATCAAAGTTTCACATGGAAATGTAAAAATCTTCTCTGGAATAGCAAAGGCATGAATGATCATATTTTTATGGAAGCATCCTCAGGTAGTGGACATTCAAGTTTGTTTAAATCATGACCCCTGGGGGTATGGCGGGGCCAAAACATGGAATCCAAGTTTTACATAGAAACATGTAGAAAAAATCTTTACAAAAATCTTCCTTTTTCAAAAATAGCAAAACCATGATCCGTCCTATTCATATCTAAGCATTCTCAGGTAGTGTAGATTCAATTTTGTTCAAGTCATGACCCCTGGGGGTAGGGCGGGGTGGCAATGTAAGTTCAAATGTAAAGGGCAATAAAGCCAAATGTAGTCAAAGAAATATGCAAGCATTTTTAGTTAATGTAGAACGAAGTTTGTTCAAATCATACCCTCTCCCTTTTAAGGATATTTTGTTCAAATCATACCCTCTCCCTTTTAAGGATATTTTGGGACCACTATTGGGTTTCAACTTTTCAATAATAAACTGAATTATGCTTTTTTTCCTAGCCACATTGCTCGGGTGAGCGATGTGGCCCATGGGCCTCTTGTTTACTTTAACCATCGTACCTGCTCTCCAGACAGCCAAAATATCTAATGATTATCTTTACCTCGGATGCGCTCTTATATATGATAACAACACCCCGGGTTACCCTCGGTTTTAACCATAAGAAAAAAACCGAGGCCAACCATCACAACTCTTTCTGAGCGTAATAAATATCCAAAAGGCTTATTTAATGACTGGAAGTCGTTCATATTATTTTTTTACCCTAACATAAAAATAAAAGGAAATCGAATCTCAGCAAAAATATGAAAAATAATAATGGAACTTATTCTTGCTCTTTTTCACATTTTTTGAGGATAAACAATGTCTGTTTACATTATGTATTGGCACTGAACAACAACTATTTAATCTTGGGAAATTCAGAATTTTGGCTAAGTGGGAATAAACCGTATTTCTAATCTCGATTAGTTTTATTCAGAAAAAAATATTGGTTGCTTTCAAGGAAACAAACAAACACATAAAAGGAAATGCCTGATAACTAAAACAAAAATGGTTCTTTCAAGGAAACAGACACGCCAAAAAAAGAAATATTGGATAACAACATGATGATTTTTGAAGAAAAAAAAGGCTTGAAAATTAAATTCTTGAAAATGAATTTACGGGTATTAATCTTTATTCTGATTTTACACGATCATAACAAGATTTACACGGAAGGTGTAACCAAATGGAAAGGGAAACTTTTTCTTCAGTGGCACCTGATATAATCAATGATTGTTCAGACATCAGTGTCTTTTTTGTTCCAGACGACTTAAGCAATGGTTTTTATTAATTTTATATGCTTTTGTTTGCCAAGTGATAGGAAATGTATTAAATATATCAAAATCACATTTAGATATACTATATATACATATACTTAACACGGAATGAAAATTAAGCTGGAAGATCTTTGGCATCACACTGATCTGACTTATTTAAGTGTGTTAATGCTAGGTGAATGCGTTTTCAAGAAAAAAAGAAGTATATCTTAAAAATAGAGAACGTTCAAATTTATTTAAGCAATGAAACGTTACTTTTTAAAAGATATAGTCTTATAACTGTAAGGGTGTTTAAAAAAGGTATTGAATATTGAACTGAATAACGAGCGTTAGCGAGTTATGATGATATGTTTGCCCTTACTGTTACAGTAGTGAGACCATATATTTCAAAAGATAATGATGATTCGTTGCTTATATTTACATTTCTAAGTCATATTCCCTTCACTGCAAATGTGATTCAAATGTCAAAATCCCCGTATTACCGTTCGGGTAGGTTATAGTTTAGGGAAGAGCCATTGCAACAGCTTATGTTCAAAGTGAACGTGATATTTTTAATATTTTTGTTTATGACGTCACACTTCCATGGCGTTCAACGTTTCAGACGTCAATATAAAACATAACCTTCAACCTTTTGACCTCCTGACCGTGGTATGGTGTTTTATTATTTTTTTATTTAAGGTAATAAAACATATCAACAAAACAACATCGGTGCAAGGGCATCTCCTATTTAATTTTAGATAAATTTCGTATAATGTAAAAAAAAAAATTGCTGTAATTAAATAAAATTGCTGAACAAACCGTATGTCCTTTCTCAATTGATAAAAATTTAGGAAACATACAACGAATTGTGATTTTTTTTTTCACCGTTTCATCTTACACCTTTATGAAATGTAACTAAACAAGTCGACATTTGTGCAGCAATATCATAAATCCTTGGAATTTCCTGTGTCTTTTTATACTTGTATGTTGTTTGGTGCTTATTATGATTTCCAAGTCTTTGTAAAAAAATAATTCAAATACATTGTGTATTTGCAGAATATGTACGACACAGAAATTGATCCTTTTCTTTAAAATATATATATCTTAATAAAAATGTATCATTCTTTGTGCTTCAGTGCATTAATTTTAAAAAGTAAAGATGGATTTAGCAGTAAGAAGAGAGAGAGAGAGAGAGAGAGAGAGAGTCTGATTAAATAATAAATATAACGGAAGCACAATTTCTTCTAAACAGACATATAAAATAAAATACATACATAATACAATCAGAAAAAATCCAACTTCTTCAAATACTGACATCTCGGTTCTCGCTCTTTATCTCCTATCTTTCGTCTCGTATATAACATCCTGCACACAGTTTTCTAGATATATATTTGGTCATATCAATATATTGAGCATCTTTCCTTGAAAAATTTCTCAATTTCCTATAAAAGGAAGTTATTTTTTTTTTGATAAGCACCTAAAAACGTCCTTCGCTACTTGTACTGTTAAAAAATATTTCATCAGTTGTTATTTCAATCCTTATCAGGTCATATGAAACAAATTTGAAAAACAAAGTTGCAAAAAGAACACACTTTGTAATTTTTTCCGCGTGAAGCTCGGTTTGACTGGGCATATCTGTTTCTTGCTCCGTAACAATAATCTGTAGAGGTAGTTCTCTTTTTGGTTGAGCCTCTAAATAATACTAGTATGTGAATCTTTTTCTTTTATAATTGGTCTGCTGAGAAGTAGCAACTCTGTTTGTAGACTTAGACGTCTGGTAATACTTTAGCAGGTTGTTTATCTCTTTGTTTTCCCTTTCAGATTTTATCAAACTGACATTCAGACCCCCAGCTCCTGTCAGAGGAAGTGAAGGAAAGGTAGACGCATAGTCTTTTCATTCACTAAGTGAAAGAAGGATATGGTGATAACGAAATGAAATTCATTGGTATATTTTTGCTATTTCTATATATTTTACTCATATCTTCATGGATTCGATTGAGGTCTTCTATAATAAGTTTCAAGCGAGGAAAGAACCTAAATTAAACACTTTTATTCCATATAGTTAAAAAGACATTAAAGGTGTCATGTTTAAATACTTTTTTCAATTAATTGTGATTTTTTAGTGATGCTAGGCTAAGGCTGCTTAATTATTTTCCAATGCATTTGATTATTTTTAATATGCCAAACATTTATAACAAATTCTTTTCAAGTGCATCAAAGCAAGAAAATATTCCTCTTGTTGTAAACAGGAATATATGAATGTATATGCTTAATCAAGAAAATTTTATCATTTATATTTATCAATAACGGTATGAACTTGGTATTTTTCATGAACATTAGCCACTTAAGTACTTCATTAAAATATGCCTTTAGGGATGTGTCCAACCTTTCATGAACTTTTTAATGTACAAAAAAATATATCTTAAAAGGATAAGTTCATTTTTATGAAATTGAAAAATATTTTATTAAGCTATAATATACTTATTAAAATATATACATATAAAGAAGGTATTCAAAATGAATGAATTCATCAGTGCTTGTAACTGAGGCACTTTTTCATTAAAAAGGTTTGAAACTAAGTGTATTTAAAATATCACAAATGCTTTGTTTTACAAGCATATAAAATGATAATGTTACATTTTGAAACAAAGCGCATTCAAAACACATGCTCTTTAAAACACCAATAGGGTATAAATGAAAAAAAAAGAAAATCAGATGTTTGTTTCACATGATTCAACATGTATCATGCAAACTTTTTCGCTCCTTTTAAATAACATTAAATGATGCATTATCACAATAAATCAGAACAAAGAAGACATTATGTATTTACAAAGCAAAGAATAAAAAAACTCTCATATTAATGAAATTTAAATTCATAATCAACAGAAATCAAAATTAATACATCAAACCAATTTATGAATAATACATGATACTGATATCTCCTGTCAAATGAATATAACAGTCTGCATAACTTACATCCAATGCTTATGAAAACGTATCATACATTCGTACATAAACGGAAATAAGAAAAAAATAAAATGGACCTAGATTTAATGTATTGCACATTTTGGCCTTATTAAATCAATTGCGCACACCATTCATCACTATCATTCATTTAATGTCTTTTAGCACTTGAGATATTTTTCACTCACAGAAGCCCCAATTTGTTTTAAAAAGAAATTAACAGATACATTTATTAATAATAGAACATAACAGCTACTGAAATGAGGACCTTTTAACATTGTTCACCATTATTTTGTTCTTAGTGCATTATATTTGAATTACATGCACATGTTTGTAGTTTCCAAAATTACAAAACACGATTCTTCCAAGAATAACAAGACCCATAAGAACTGAGGATAGTCATGACTAAGATGAATAATAATAATATCATATTCATATATTTAATCTCATGAACAAACCCGTGTGTATTATATCATTAACTTACCTTGGCTACAACACATAATATTAACTATATTCATATTTTCTATGTTGCTTAGTGTATACATGAAATTAATCAATTAATTAATTCAAATAATGTATCTGCCTTTGAATATATTTACTGGCATTAAAAAAGCAACTATAATGTCTAGATAAGTATTTGACTTATACAATAGTTGTTTAATAGTTGTATTTTGGTCTTGATTTTTTATCACTATTGTGATTTTTCTTCCAGTAGACGTCTTGATAAGTTAACTTCTTTTCAGAATGCTGTAAAATCACGTATTTTCGTGGGGTAAAATTTTCAAGGTTTGAAGAAAAAATGTTGATTTGTTGTGACTTTATTTCTGGTTGAAAAATCAAATTTAAAATTTAGTGGTGGTCATGAATTCGTTGGTCTCTTCCCTCCTCGAAAACATCGAAAATGAAATCCTCACGAAAATAAGTGATTTCACAGTGTGTGAATCATAAAATAGAGGCCATTTTGGCGACCACATCCATTTCACATTAAAGCTTTCTCGTCCATGTTGCCGTGGTTAAACTGGGTTTCATGCATCGGGTTCTGTACCGTTGTGACACACTCCTTGTAAATGGGATTCTCAGACTGTAAAAGAACGTGCATTAAAATTAAATATTGCATCAAATCCATTTTTAAGATTTCAAACACTGCAAATTTCGATGAAAGAAAATAACACAAAGAGGGTTGTCAGTATTCAAGTACGATTAGTGTACATTGTACAATTTAACTAAATCCATACATTATAAATACCAGTCTTGTATTTAACTACACATTTGCAGTCATATTCAAGAAATATTGGGGGGAGATGGGGTTAACTAAAGTAATGAGACAAAGATGTGCATGTAGACTTAAAATTCGTATTCTTTAGCACTGTAAGATGTGCAGAATATATAATAATAGTGATTGATATCGTACTTGTATATACTTTTAATTACTTTTCTAAAATTCTGAACTCTGTTATTTTACATTTGATTCAAATAATTTTTATTATAGAGTTAAGAGAGAACTGCACACAGTATGGATTACCTTTTCCCAAGCTGGATTCTGGATTTCCGACTCAAACCTGGAATACTCCATGCTATCATACAGCATAGTCAATAGCTTCCAGATCAGTAAAAGCAAAAGACCAATGAGGAAAATGGCACCGGAAATGCTGAGTCCTATCGTCACCGGATCTGGAGGACCGGCAGGACATCCTTAAAGAAGAAATTCTCATCAATAAACAGATATATTCACAGGATGAAACTCTGTCATGCAATTAATTGAAATGTGGCTGAAGTTCTACTGAAAGATGACCGAATGTCTACTGAAAGATGACAGAATGTGTCTACTGAACTATGCCATTCAATGACATTTCCATACTTTTCAATCAACATTCAATTGACGGTATGTTGCAGGCTCATCCTGTGGTTGCAAGAAAGACAATTCTGTGGACTCTCTATCATTCACATAAACTGTTATTTGATATTCATTACCTTTAAATCTATCTCTGACAATCAATTTTTCGTGACTGAGTAAAATTTTCTCCATAAGAACACAAACACAAGAAAGGTTTTTGCTATATCACAAATAACAGTGAAATGTGTTACAGATGTTTCTCATGCTGTGCAAATTAACTTTTGTAAACAGTAGGTGTATATTTAATATTCACTTTTAGACCAAGCAGCTCTATGTATTGTTGTTCTGTAATTATATTTTTATTTTTAATATACGCTTAGACCAAGCAGTTCTATGTATGGTCGATTTTTAACTACTTACTTTTTGTGTCCTTGACAACAACTTCCTGTCCAGTTTCACTGTCATCTTTGCAAAAAAGAATACAATACTTTATTAACCCGTGACAAAGTAGCTACATAAATTTAAGTAGTAGTCGAATACATTGGACAAGAACGTTGTTTTTCTTGAACAAAGGGTATATAACTGTGTTTTCTACAAATGAAAGTGCAATGGTCTTAGTAACTTACAGACATTAAAGTTTATGATACATCCTGAAGTGTCCTCTATGATGCATGATTTTATTGTTACTGTGACATTGTCACCTTCCTGGGCTGAAATTTAAAATGAGTCAATGAATCAATAATTGAATGTTACCCATAATATACACGTAGTTAAAAATGCGCGAAAAAACAGGCACATACATTACAAGTCAGATTTCTATCAATTATACACTCAAAATTTGGTTAACATGTAAATCTCGTTTTTTTTCCGCAAAGAGATTTCTAATCGTCATGCATATGTACCATGTCCTTTTTCTTATGATATCTAGTAATTTGTAAAATAGTTATTTTCTTCCATTTTTGGTTATACACACTTAAGGGATATACATGTACTTAATTACATTCAAATGTTATAAATTAAATTTATTTGATCTTTTAACATTTAAGGAATGAAAGTGATTCGCAGTTTATAAAGCAAAAACTGCCCAAAGTTATGTTATATCGTATAACATAAGCTTAAGTAAACTTCATTCCTTATAATTTAATTTCGGTGTAAACAATGAAAGAATTTTCCTCCAGAAAGAGGCTTCAAGTTGAGCATATTTTAAAAGTAACGTCAAGCGGAGTGTTACGTTTTTGACGTAACTCATTTTGAGGAAGGCAACTTATGTAATACGAAATGGATTAAATCTTCCACCCAAATAAATGACGTGTTACATTTAAAATTAAATTATTTACAAATATTAATCGTTTTATAACCCCGTTCCTGACTCACTTGCTGGTTCCAATAGTGGAGCGGTCCTGACGTTATAACAGCGATTTCTACACACGGTACTGTTATACTTCCCTTGATTAAAGGCCACACACTCGGCGCAGTCCTTATTGTTATTACAGATACCGGGACAACTCTGCAGCCAAAATAAGATATTACAAAATTGTACAGACTTTACTGACAAAAAACAGACTTGATAGAGAAATAAGGGTTAAACGTAAATAAAAACGAGAGGGACGTTAAACAACATACAAACAAACAAACAAACAAACCGTGCAGCTGTTACAGAGCGTTCCTCTCCAGCCTGTATCGCAACGACAGCGTCCGCACTCACACACACCGTTACCGGAGCAAATCGTCTACAAACATCACAGATATACAGGTACAGATAGTTTTCGATAGACCAGAATTTAGAAAGAGTTATTTCCCATTGGCCGCCATATTGGAGATCCAAATACTCATATTCTTAAATTGTTCAAACAATTTTAACTTTTTATATTTGCTGTTTTGATTTGAAATCATTGTTTTTCTGAAGTATACACATTTTTGGAGGCCTCTTTTATTTAAAAAAAATTATTTAATAAAGATTTTGCATCAAATATCTCTGCTACATCCTCTTAAATTTGATAATACAAAGAGGAAAAATCATCGAGTCGACCTCCAATATGGCGGGCGTAGGGAAGTAATTCTTGTTAAATTCAGGCCTATCAAAAACTATCTATACCTTGTTTCATATCAAGAACTGACATAAACAGCTAAATTATAAAACTACCTTTAATTTATAATTTTACTTTGCTTCCCTGTGTAACTTTGATAACTGTTTTAAAGAGGTACTTGTACTTTATCTTTTTTTTAACTACGACAAATTCCTTTTTTCAAAACCCAAAAACCAATCTACAAAATATTTTCAAACCTTTGACAGAGTTGTTTTGGATTATATAGTTTCAATAATAGGATTAATGAATGGATGATAGATTTTGCAATTTAGTTCACAATAAGCTGGTATGTCATGTCTATTGCTTAAGACAACCCTTCTAAGGGTTCACTCATTCCCTAGAATTTATGACTTGAGAAATCTAAATATGATATTTGTAGCTGAAAAAATTATGCAGAGCATTTGAGTTTAAATCTGGCAGCAATAAAATTTTGTTCTACCCATCCCCTTTTCCTTGCATCTTTTTTCAATTACTTTGTCTATGTGTTCTAAAATTATTTTCACTTTCTCCTTCTTTCTGTTAAGAAGAAAGGCATCTAGGTCTTCTGGCAAATTTAACATTAGTTTCAACTTCATATAAGGATGGACTGTCGTTTCAACTTAAGATTCTGATTTTTTCTTTCCAAACTAGAAAACTGACCAGTCAGCAAGGGCCCCGCTGAGGGGTAGAAATATAAGGGTGCAGCTCATTGAATGAGAGTTTTAATTGATTACATTTTTTTTAATAAATGAAGATTATAAGTAACAAACGTATTTTTAAAATTTCAGGATAATTCCTAAATGTCTTAACCCTGTAAATAGTAACCTTGTATGAACATAAAAAAGGGAAAACCTCATGTCTTATTAAAAAAAACTAAATTTAATGTGTATTTAAAAAAGATTTAAGCAGGTGTTTTATAAAATGCAAGCCTTCAGTGAATGCAAATATCACCCAGGGTTGACCTCAACTTCAAAACAAACATCAGTTGCAGACAAAATTGTTCATTAATCTTCATGTGACAGATAAAGATAAGCCTCTAAATTTTCTGCAGCAAGCAAGATAATTAATCCTGGGGGATTAATTCAGTTTCAGTTTCAGTTTCTTTATTTCTTTAAGCCAACTGGCCCATCAGAGTTATACAACAAACATGATAATAACAAAAAGAAAAAAACATGCAGAGAGAGTGAACGTAAAGAACACATACATGGGAATAATTCTATACATCAATTTTATTTTTTCTTAACATTGTTGCTGCGTTCAAAAATTTGCCCAAATTTACGAGATCTTTAATATTATGAGAACTTAACAGCTGAATTAATTTAAAGACACTAGGCCTAGTATAATAATACTTTTTCAAAAATTTCTTTCTTATATCAATATACAATGGACATTTCAAAATAAAATGAAATTCATCTTCTATATCATGGAGATTACAACATGTACATAATCTATTATTTTTAGGTACGTTATGGTGTCGACCTGTTTCAATATTCAACGTGTGATTAGATAACCTGAATTTTGTTAATAGCTGTCTTAATTTTTTGTCAATAGGTTTTGTTAAATACCATTGCAAACAGAAATTGTCATTTAAATGTTGATATAAATTACACTTGGAAGAGTTTGATATATTTTCTAATATAGCTTGCCTAGAAACATCTAACAGTCGTTGTTTTATAATGAGATAAGATCTATCATTTAAATTATCTTCTGTCCAAAGTTGACCTAGACCTAAGAGGGACAATTCTTTTTTAATTTGTAAAATCCATTTGTCATTATGTAATACCATGCTTTCATAACAGGACTTAAGAATGCAATTTTCAGTTGTTCTCAGTTTGATCCAATATTTGAAAATTCTTAATTTCATTGTAACTGCTAATGGAAAACGCCCGAGCTCTGAATAAATCAAACTGTTTGAAGTTTTCTTCCCCACACCTAGATTTTGTACTGCTCTCCCATCCTTTTCTTCTAAATTTACAATAAGAACTTTTTCAACACTGACAGAATGGGGTTATTATCTGATTATCTGTTAAAATTAACAGCATTAAGGCAGCAAAAAATTAAATTAAGTAAATAATTAAAAAAATAAAATAGAAATAGTAAAAAAGGATATCTTATATATATCTTGATTTTAGAATTCAATAAAATTATCATAAATCCTTGTGTACAGTATTCTAACCAAAATAAAGTATGAACATTATTTTAAATCCATATTTCAAAGAATGTACACATCATTCAAAATTGACCTTAACTTCAAAACAGTTCATTTGCAGACAGAGGCGGTAGAGTCATTAATCTCAATGTGACAGATAAAGATAATGCTTAGGATTTTCTTCATGTGGAAGGTTAATTAATCCCAAAGGACAAATTGCACAGCCTTCCCAGTTAACAATGGTAACATTCTCAGCAGTTATCTCTCTTTGCCCATTCATTCTTATGCATAGTTAAGGAATATACCCCACCACCCCAGCTCCAAACCAGAAGACAAAGAGAATCCATCTTAGCATCAAAATATGTATTTCTGCCTACTGAACTACCATACCAAATTTGAACCTGATTGGGCAACCTTAAAAAAAGTTATTAGATAAAAACAGAAAATTTGTGGACGGAAGAGTGACAGACGGACAGACAGACAGACGGACGGACAGAGTGATTACTATAGGGCACCCGCAAATCCTTGCGGGGCCCTAATTATATTGGAGTTGAGTTGATTTGATCAAACTTACCCCGTTGTTGTTTTTACAGGGGTCAGTAGAGGTCAAGCATTCACAGGCGTCCCCGGTATAATTGGCATTACAGACACACTGACCACAGTCACAACGTCCATGCGAAGGACCTACAAATGCACGTGATACAAAGAACAGATGCAGGGATTTGTATGTATTTAACACATATTTTAGGTATAAATTATACATTTATTTCATTTCAAAATTTTGAAAATATTAACAAATTAAAGCCTTCTATGATGGTCATTTCTTCCTATTTTTATATAACCTTCAAAAATCTTCATTTTCATCACCTTATGGAACGATATTATGAAACACAGCATAAAAATGCACGTTTGTGAGGTTACACCAATTGACTGGCTTCTATAAACCTAGATAAGATTACCATTTTTATGGCATTTGAAAATTAAAAAAATAGTATCATCTGTCTTTTAGTTAACGTTTTAAAGAACTCAATTATCCATAATAGCTTTTGATGAAAACACTGTCTTGGAACTCTCGTTTAAACAATTAAGATGAAAATTCCTTCACTATAAAGCTAAATCATTAATATAATTGATTCATAAGCATTAACTTTTTTCCGAGACAAATACCAAACTTAGCTACTTATTCAATCAAAAACCCCTCAAAAGAAGTTTGTTGACTGTCTTAGCTAAGCTACCTTACTCAATCAATCAACCTTCTATCACATAGAAGTTCCTTATTCAGTTACTCGAACAATCAACATATCTTTACGGAGAAATATGTTGTAGGTCTTTATTGAGTTACCCAAACAATCAACATATCTTTAAGCAGAAATATGATGTAGGTGCTAATTCAGTTACTCATACAATCAAAATATCTTTACTGAGAAATATGTTGTAGGTGCTTATTCAGTTACTCAAAGAATCAACCTATCTTTACAGAAAAATATGTTGAAGGTCCTTATTAAGTTACTAAAACAATCAAAATATGCTTACAGAAGTTGTTAATTGATGGAATTTGATACATTACTCCATCAATCAACGTACTGTGCTCAACAGAGAAGTTTGTTGTAGGTCTAAACTAAGAAACTCAATCAATCAACATCCCCCCTTTGACCAACAAGAAGTTACAGAAGGTCCTACTAACTAACACAATCAATCAACCTACCCCCACAGAGAAGTTTGTTGTAGGTCCTACAATTCTCATCATTACATTCACATTTGTCTCCACTGTAGCCTTTGAAACATTCACACTTCCGGCACGTGCAATTTCCCGCATTGTTACAAATTCTAAACAAGATAAAAATACTATATCTTCAGTTTGAAAATTACAAATAGAATGATATGATGATGTACTCTACAGCGACTTGTGTTTTTTTTTTACATCTTATGTGTCATTTTTTTTTTATTCCTGCTTTTATGCTAGTACAAAAAATTAACTCCAAAACATGTATGCACAGTCATGCTAAACTCAATTTAGGTATTGTGTGTTACA